GTCTGAGCCTGCTGGCCCCCAGTTCCTGTTCATGGTCCACATTCAACCTTGCACTCACGCCGGGGAGTGACCTTTTTTCTTTTTTTTTTTTAACTGTTGGCACTGGGGATTGAACCTGGGACTGCATGCACGCTAAGCATGCACCCTAGCCCTGAGCTATACCCACCTGCCGTAGACTTACTCTTGTCCATCGCTTCTCTCGTCCAGACCTCTGACTTCCCTTCTCCATGACAGCTCACATTCGACTCTTAGATAATGTCGTTTCTGGCCATTCCAGTAAAGGTACACCTGATGCAGGAAGCACTCCGGCTCAGTCCCACGGGACCAGTGCCCACCAGCCTCTCCTCTGTCCTGCAGCTCAGGCTCAGGGTGGCTTCCCCATCCCCAGAGGCCTCAGACCCCACAAGCCGGGCAGCGGGAGGGAGCTGAGCCCTTTATCAGAAGAAAATGCAGTGATCTCAGAGCAAAGCCCACGTCAAAGGTTATCACTTTAAACAGCTTCCTTCTTCCAAAGTTTATTTGAAAGGCGCACTCTGAGGAAAAGCTCATTTCCTTAAACCATCAAAGAACTAAAAACCAAGATGATAGATGTTTTTTTCTTTTTTTTCCCCTTTAGACAGCCTGCGAAGTGTCTAAACAAAATTCTGCAAAGTGTACAAATAAATATTACAAAGAATTCATTTCTGCTACAGTTGTCCACCACCCTCAGTATTACATTTAGCTAACTTAATTTTCCGTGGATCAAATTTATTCAACATTAAATTTCTCTTAATAGGTCATCTGAGTAAACACTTGCAAGTGTTATTTGCCAAAAGACCGGATTTCCAGCTCCAGATGAAATCAGCAGTGTCAGGCTAAGAAAACAACCTTAAACATTCACAGAGGGGTGGGACAATTGCAGAAAAATGAGAGCCCGAAGCTCAACCTTTTTCACACAGATCGAGAGGAAAAAGTTACAAACTTTCACCAAAATTGTGTCTTTGAGGGACCAAGGAAGAAAACCATTAAAAAAAATCCCCCCCAAATCCAACATGGCTTTAAAGTGGCAGCGGTCACGTGAAGAGCGCACCATCTCCAGGCTGCATGCTCACCGAGACAGCCCCGCCACCTTGTAACAGGCATCCTGCATCTGGGTCCTTCCCCAGGCGATGGATGCTCCGGGCTCCAGGTCTTCAAAGAGAGGCTGCGGGGAGGAAGATGGAGGAAGGGAGGACGGGGTGGAGGAGGAGAGGAAAATGCATGGGGGCAGGGAGTAAAAGGGAGGTCGAAGTATGACAAGGAATTCTGCCGGGAAGTGGAGCTGGGAGTCTTGGGGTGGAAGATTCTGTGAACCCCTGTTCCTAACACTGCTTAGAATGATCGCACGTGTGCAGTGGGAGGGACAGAGGGATAGCTGAGTCCCAGGTCTGTTTCACAGGTGAGGAAATGGAGAAGCCAAGCAGCTGCACCCCCGATCAGAGACACAACCAGAACGGAGCTCACTTCATCCCCAGGCTCCACACCTACTGGCCTTACTCTAACGGCGGCCAGAGCCAGGGGTTCTGAGGACACAGTCTGAGAAGCCCTGTGATGTCACAAGTAGCATGAAGCATTCTTTAGGACAAGAGCCAGACTCACTGCTGCCTGTGACCCTGACAGCATCACTCACAGGCCACGGCCCACACCGGCCTCCAGACGCGCAGCCCCAGAGCACAGAGGGAACCCTGCCGCCATCCTCGTGAGCTGGATGCCTCACGGACGGGAAGGAGGCCAGTCCCGTGGGCCCGCGGCTCACCTCCTGGGCCTGCACCGAAGACTCCCGGGAGCAGAGCCCCACCCGAGCCAGCACAAGTGCGCCCCACCGCACCCCGGCCGCTCCGACCTCGCCCGGAAGCTGCCAACGTCCTGTGGCGGGGCCCCCGCTCAGGCCAGCACGGCCCCCTCACCCCACGGAACGTTCCAGGCAGAGAAGACGGGTACATTCCACTTTAATTCTAAACCAGGATCTTCTGAGGGCCCTGGCTCCCACCTTTTCTCTTGAAGCATCCACTCCGTTTGGCCTGAGAAGCAGACCCCCGACAGCTTTCTGGAAAGGGCACCGAGGCAGCGGGGGTCACACGCTCGGCGGCAGCGCTTTGACCACGTTCTTGGAGAAACACACGACCGATCAGAGGCCCCCCGCTCAGCACCACAGCGCCGTCTTCAGCGCTGAGCTGTGTGAGACGTCGGTGCGCGAGCCTCTCTGCCCAGCTGGCCACCTGCGCGGACCTGGGCCGCCCGAGGAAGCAGCCTGTTGACTGAACCAGACGGGCCGCATCTGCCCATTGGTGAGGGGAGGGGCTGGGGAACACAGCGACCCACCGGGGATGGAGGGACGGGTGCCCCCAGCAGACAGTGGGGAATTCGTGAGTGAGGTCCTACTGTGGACCCACCATCTGCGGGCCCCTGGCGGGGCACACCTGATCACATCACCACCAACCCTCACAGCCGCTGTGAAAGGTCAGAAAGGTTATCTCAGTTTCACAGAGAAGCACATAGCGGCTTAGAGAACCTGAGGCATTTTCCCCACAGCTTCTGAGCTGGGATTCTAACCCTGGTGAGTGTGGCCCAAAGACCCAGGTGGGAGATGGGGCTCTTGGATTTACACTCCACTCTGTATCTCTGCGATGCTCACAGCTGAGCTGGGAAGACGAAAGACGTGTCCAAAGACAGACGGGAGTTCTCGACCAGCTGTCCAACAGGCCTTTCTGTGATGATGGAAACATCTGTGACCCGTGCTGCCCAGTATGGCAGCCACGAACCACCTGCCACAGTTGGGCATTTGATGTGTGTCTGGGGCAACTGAGGGTCTGAGTTTTTTCAACTGTACTGAATTTAAATTAACTTGAATTTAAGTGGCCACTGAATGTCCATTTTATACCAAAAACATTCAGAGAACAGAATGGCCACAGCAGGCTTCGTGCAGGACGGAGGCTCTGGGCAGCCCCCCGACATGCTGGGATCTTGCTTCAAGCACAACCCTCTTCCCTGTAGGACTGGTTTGGAGTTAAGGGCCCCAGAAATCAAGCCTGGAGCCCGCAGCCCACCAACGAGGAGATCAAGACGGTCCCTCCTGCGTCCCTGCTCTTCCCGGACCCGCTCTGCGTGAAGAGCTCTTGTCTGCTCCTCCTGCAGCCTTCCTCTCCTCCCCTCCCTGGGCCCGCCCTGCCAACACCAGCAGGCTCTGGGCTTGAGATTCCGTTAAAAACCTGGACATCTTCTGTTCTACTTGTGAGCTGAGTCATTCCTCTCCTGCAACAGCTTTTAATGTACTTTATTCTTTCACACCTGTCACTCTGAGAAAGGCATTTCTTGATACAGTGAGCAACGCCACTCACAGAGAGACTGCAGCCCCCCCTCCAAAACACAGTCCCAAACTACAGGGAACGGAAGCTCTGCATCACCACTGGCCCTGCGCACGGCCGGACCCAGCATCCTGGAGGTGGGCACCGTCTCGGGTCTGACTCCCTTTTCTGCCACCCAAGGCAGTGACTAGGCTCCTTGCTACCGGTTCTCCTGTCTCCTGACATCCCAGTCACCATCCGCTTACTGGTCGTTGTAGAAAGATATTGAAAAATCTTATAAGACCAGATCGGCAAACAGGGTTTTTGGCACAGCGATGACCCACACCACCCCGGCCACGCCCATTCAGCCTGCCCTCCGCACATGCCCATCGCTCAGAGTACATGGGGTTCCGTCCGCACAGCGGGAAACCTTCGTGCCCACTTCCACTCCAAGCTCAGGTAGCTGCCATGTGCTTCACTAACATTCAAGAGTGTTCCTTCAGAGCATTCAATAACAGCCACAGGAAGCCTTGACTCCTCTAGCGTAAGGAATGCGAATTAGGTGGGGTTGTAGGTTGGTTTCTTTTTGGGAGGAGGGTAGCCTCTGTTTAATCCTGTCCAGCTGTGGGAAAGGGAACCTCTCGCCACCATCCTTCAAAAAGAGCAGACACATGACTTCACCCCCTGTACTCCGAGCTCTAAGGTTCTTTGGGCTGCAGTGAAGATGGTGTATGTCCTTCCAGGATGCTCAGAATGAGAGCAGCCTCTGGATGTGGCATCCCGGTGTGGTTGAGCTCCCCAGCCCTTAAATGGGGCACATGTGAGGCCCAAGACCCCACTAGGCAAGGAAGGCAGGCCCCCGAGATCTGAGAACTCCACATCATGGTTGACAACGTGGCCACAGGCCTGGTCAATCTCACAGCCTGTCTTTGTGCGCTAAGAATGGTTTTTAAATATTTAAAGGATTATAAAAAATATTTTTAAGTATACTACAGACACGGCATAGGATCTGAAAAGCCTAAAATATTTACTGTCTGGCCATTCCGGGGACAAGTCTGCTATGTGGACACCTGGTCTAAACTAGCAGGTCCTCACCAGTCCACAGGGTCTTGGCATTTCCTGGGATTTGGTTGAGCTTGAAATCTGATCATTCCAAGCTCTCTTCGTCCCCTTGTTAGTTCTCCCTCTAAGTTCAGTAATATTATAGATAAACTGCTCTGAGGAAAAGGCATAATAGATATCAGATACAAGAACTGATAAATAAACATTCGCTTCTCCCTAGAAGACCAGCATCGCAGGTGAGGATCTGGTCCAACACCTGTGCCTTTCCTGCGACAGAAAGAAGGCTCCCAGTTCAAAACCACTGAGAGAGGATTCCAGGCACCAGCGCAAAGGCAGCTGCAGAACATCCCCACCCACCTCTCCAGACCGTTTCCCACTCGATGGCACCAGTGTCCACATCCGGTATTTTGACTTACCTTTTCCCCAGCCGCCTTAGGAAAAGAACATAGAGGTGGAAACACACCCAAATCGCCCCCTGGGAGTTGGCCCTGGCATTTCTGAGACACATGCCCCTAAATGTTCCCTCTGGATTAGAACTCAAAAGACACAGCATTCAGCTCTTCCTCCTCTACTACAGGCAGAACGGCGGCCCCGCCCCCGGCGCGAAGCCCCGCCCCCGTGCAGCTGTCTTCTTACCTGGTTCAGTGCAGTTCTTGCTGCTCCGCAGCCCAGCATCTTCCGAAGTCAGCGTGTCGTTCACCTGCAGTAACTTCCTGCCCACCGTCCACTGTCTGTCCTGCCCTATGAGGTCCATGAAGTCGAGGTCTGGGGAGAAAGAGATGACAGCTGCACATCAGTAACAGCTGGGTTAGCCCTTCCCAGCGCTGGGGGGCCAGGGCCTTCACCGCCGTCATGTGCCCAGCCCTGCTGACACCCCCTAAACCTCTTGCCGCTGCCATTCACTAGCCCACCTCTAACTCCTGAGGGCGTCCCCCGGCTGCTGGGTCCTCCTGGGCCCCACAGCGGCAGCCCTCAGCCAAGGATGGGCAGGAAGTGGGGTGTAAACTCCTCTCCCTCCAGCGGGATGACTCTGAGCTGGAGTCCAGCTTTCTCCACTGGGATTACACCCCACTTGTCTACAGGGTGACTCTCCTGCTAAAACATACTTTATTGGCCCCTGTCCTTCCCCGTCTTAATTCCCTGCTCCCAAGAACATGCTGAGAAATGTTTAACAACCAACTCTCCAGGGGAAAAAGTCCTAGTTTGTAGCCATTGGCCATTATCCATGGTGGAAATATTTCCATCATGTCCAATCTCAAGCTACCAATGTGACCTCACTGAACACGGATTTGGGAAGAGATGGACACAGGCAGGTCCACTAAGTCGGTATAACTGACTCCAGTCCAGCAGCAGCTGATCCCTTACCAGTACTGCCTGGAACCACCTCCCAAATAAACCACCTGTCACTGAACACCTGCTCAGGACCTGCTGCTCAGGAGCTGCTGCTCGGGAGCTGCCCAAGCTAAGAATGAGGAAAAAGCAGGTCACTAAATGCGTGACAAGAACTGTAACAGTGCGGAGGGCTCTGGTTGAGGTGACGGTGGGGATGGAAGCACCGGGAGAAGGGGCAGAGATGGAAGAGCACGTCAGGGAGGACGTGGTGCCTTCTGCTTCGGACATGTTGAGTCTCAGGTGTCCGTGACCATGGAAAGGGAGGTGTGCTGCCTGTGTGAATGCGGGTGGAGACACCTCAGTGCAGACAGCGAAGCTACAGGGGACACCAGGAGAATCAGAAGCAGACGGCGGAGAGTAGAAGACATGGAGGGACGGGGTTTCCAAAGGAGAAAGGAAGGGAAGAAGAAATCATGGGAAACTCAACACCTCTTCAGAGAGCAAGCAGAGTAAAAGAATTCGGCAAAGGGTCGTGGAAGGAAGAAAAAGCGCAAGAGAAGGTAAACAGAAAGGGAATTTCAAAACGGAAAGAGTGGCCAATGGCCTTGAGCACCGTGGACAAATCACATGATACAAAAGCAAAGAAACAACAGAGCAGGACATCTGAGCCACTGCGAGGGGGAAACAGGGAGCAAAGATGGATCTTTCCAGTAGCTTGGAGCTCAAGAAAGATGTGACGTGAAGCTTTGGCTAACGCTCGAGTGTCCAGAGTTGCTGTGGTCACAAAATGGCTCTAAGGACAAGACAAGGGTCCAATTCATGGGCCCAGCGGCCTTCACCAAAGGCCAGAGGGCGCACCCCACCCAGTCACTTCAGCACAGTGTTTTGAAACGGTCCATGAAGAGCTGAATATCTCCAGACCCGGTCCTTCATTTCCATGGTGATCTTAGTTTCCCAAATGATGTCACTTTCATTATGCAATTCGAACCTCGTGACACTGCTCAGGAAAGAAAGAGGGAGCCTGGACATTGTCTACTTTGTCCACTGCTGTCTTTCTAACACCTAACCACTGCTGGCTCAGAGTAGGTTCTCAGTAAGTACATGTCAAAATGACTATTCCCACTTTGTGGATGGACAAAGAAAGACTCAGGGAAGTTTCTGGAAATCACAGTGTTTGTAGGCATCCCAGGTGAGCCAACAGGACACGTGTGACATCAGCAGCTCCTGCACTGAGGTCTTCCCCAAATGGAACCTGCTCCCAAGGTAAAGTTATCAAGTAGCTGATTACAACTTTCACATATTAGCCAGGACAGCCCCTAGGTTTAGTCTCAAAAAAAGTGTATAATGTGGAGCCTAACTAGAAGAAACAATAACTTAAGACTCTGAAATACAAAAACCTATAAGGTAGTCGTGTTTATCGTTTAACTGTAATTATGAGGATAATACCAAAGATATTTCGAGACTAAAGCAAGGCGTTTGTATAGTGTGGTTCACCTGAATGGTTAATTCTTAGGAGTAAGAATGGTGATAAGCAGAGGAAAAACTTGCAAAAACTCACAAAGAATAAGGTCGGTGGTCTTAAAATTCAACACGCAGACCTATAATGTGACTAGGAGACCATATTATCATAAAGGATCTAAAAGTGTGGAGAATGACATCCCGTTTGTCTCAGGCTGTTTCCGCAGAAGCATCCCCTGAGGACAAGGATTTGAGCACAGGAGGTTTACATTGGGGGGGGGTGGGGGACCGCAGGAAGCACCCATGGGGGAACAGGGAAACGGGACAGGGCAGAGGAGCCAGCCAACGGAGGTGTGTTTTCAAGTCAGTTGCTAAAATGAGGAAACTAGAGCTTGACCCCTCTGGAAAGCTGTGGGGGCCGGTGTAGACACACAACTCAGACACCCAAGGGGTGAGGGAGCTTGGGTATTTATCCACCTGCTCCTGGCCTGCCAATGGTTGAATGAAGGCTGTTCTCAGGGGGCATTAATTCCCTGGCACTTCCAATCTGCCACTTGGGTGTCTAAGGGGGGTTCTGGTACCCAGAAAAAGGCTTTAGACAGTGAGACACAGGTGCTAAAAGTTGGACGGTGCCAGTGTGCTCTGAAGAGGTCAGAAGAAAGTGATGTGGGCAGGACACCAGCGGCATCTTCCAGCCTACATGAGACCAACAGATTGGCTATTCTGCTGTTCTCATGATTTGGGTCAAAGGAAAGTGTTCTGTGGCGCTGCAATCCTAACATTCAGGAAAATTCCAAAGATTTACGAAGAAGCAGGAGTGTCCCGTCCAGTGACTTCCAAAGTTCTTTCTTAGGCCAAGTTTCCATGGTTCTGTAATTCTGAGAGGAAAGCTGATACCAATTAAGAGATATAAAGAGAAAGCCAACTATTGTAGCAGAAAATGAGAGGATTTTTTTTAACATAACGACTCAGCGTCCTCAGGAGTTAGAGGCCATGAAGGCAGCACCTCTGGGTTCCAAAACCCACACACGTTTATCTCAGCAAAACTACGTGTGACCGCTGACCGCTGGTGCACAGACACAGAGACCAGAGTCCGAAAAATCAGGGCGATAAAAGCAAAGCACCGCATTCACTTCCCGCCGAGACCCCGGCGTGACAATATTATACGCGTTTTATCTGTCCTCACAATACTGCTGGGAAGGTAGGAAGGGGCAGTTGGTTCCCGGGTCGCCTTACCTTTAGAGTAAATAAGTCCGAGTAGAAGTGATCTGCCTCAACTCAGAGCCACCCCACGGCCACATCAACCGCCAGCTCAGTCATCACAGCTGCCACCTACTGAGTGTCCATTATGCGCAAGGAACTTTCCGTTCTTTACTAAGTGTCAGTCTTAACAACAGTCTTATTCTGACCTACTAACTCCATTTGCAAATTAAGAAACCAAAGCACAAAGAGGTTGAAAGGCTTGTCCAAGGACACACAGCAAGCAAAGAGGAGGAGAACGGAGATTTGAACCCACGTCTGGTGACCGCCCAAGGCCACATTCTTGGTGGATCCCTGGAGAGGGTGAAACCCATCTGGCCGTATTTCTCAGCTTTTAGCAAGACAGATCAACAATGCGGCCTGCACTTCATAACAGACTGGGGCGGACGCAGTCTCGCTGGACCTACTTCCCCCAGACACTACCAGAAACAGTGGGGAGGAAGGAGCATCACCCCGTGAAAGCATCACAAACAGGAAGAAAATGGTTCTAAAGCCCCACTGGACGCACAGTGCTCTGCTCAGGGTGCATTTCTCAGAGACTCGGCCAGTCCCTTGGTCGTGACCTGGAGGGTTAGAGTCTTGGGTGTCGGCAGGGATGGGGAGGGCAGTGGGGAAGGCAGAGGGCATTCAGAGAGGGGCCCACTGCTCTCCCTCCCTCCCTCCCTCCTGGCCTCCCTGGACTCTGCTCGGCAGGGTCTGCCCCGCGACTGCACTTGAGCAATGTCAATAAAAACACTTGGCCCCTGTCCACCGGGTCTGAGCCCTGGAAGTTGCATGTCGGCCTAATCAGCCAGGGAGGGGGTGGGGGGCGTGACGAGGGAGGCAGCAGTCTGACACGTCACATGTCCCCAGCAGGGCAGCAGGTATGACTGCAGGCTCTGAGAAGGGGGACAGGAGTGGACCATGGAGACAGCGTGGGGCGCTGGCTGGAAGGAGAGGAAGTCCTCAACTCGAGACTCAAGCCACTTGCTCGAAGGAAGGAAAGCGTGCAGGCCGGGTGCCAAGTTTCCATTACAGAGCCGTGCACGGGCCCTCTCCCGCTCTCCTCTCTGCCTCTCCCTGTCTCTCTCTCTGTCTCTGTTTCCCCTTCTTCCTCCCTGTGACTGGGGCTTGGAAAGCCCAAGGATTTCTGACACCCAGAGTGGATTTCCTCAGGTGTCCTAGGTCCCAACTTCACCCGAAGCCTAACACGCTTTCTCCGATGCGCACGCTCGTCCCACAGGGCTCCCCCATCCCGCATGCTGGTCCCAGGCCGCGCAGAGAGCGGGCCTCTCTGCCCGCGGAGGAGCAGGGGGCGTCTGCCTCCTTCAGGTGCGTGCACAGGCAGCAGGGGCGGGTCCAGCAGCCTCAGAACTGTCTTGCGAGCCCCTTGCCTGTGTGCCAAGCGGCCTTCCCGCGCCATCTCACTCCACCCTCTCCCCGGGAGTTTGGACCATTTCACTGCCGCCGCTGACAGGGTTAAGCAGCGAGCCGGGACTCAGGCCCAGATCTGACTCCAAAGCCCAGGTGTGCGTGTTCTGCTCAGGCCCGAGCTCGGGGAGCCCGGGGTAAGCGGCCTCCTGCGGTCAGCAGCTCCGTTTGGGAGGCTGTGCTTACTCTCCCCTCCCCAAGAACTGGAACACGTCATTTCTTCTTTAAAACTGGGATGGAGAAAGCCCCCTGGGGATCAGAGCAGCAGGTGGGGACACTGAGTCCCGGAGTGCCTAAGGCAACGCTGAAGCCAGAACGTCCAGAAAAGTCAGCGAGGAGAACAAGAGACAGAGCCCACGGCTGCACGGCCGGCTGCAGCCCGGCCCAGCGCCGCTCTGCTGGGCTATAAACACCCCGCCCTGCAGTTTACACAGCTGCCTCCACTCTGGGAGCCCGGGGTCCTCACCCGGGGTCGGAGGGCAGGTTTGCATAAGCCTGCAGCCCGCGGACGCCTTCTGCAGACTCGGGGAGCCGTTCTTCCAGCCCCCTCTCCAGCTAGCCCCCTCCCCGCCGCCCCTCCCTCCCTCCCGAGCCCTGGCTCTCACCCTCTGTGGGTGAACAGGGGAGGATGGAGGGGCCAGCCTCTGCACGTACAGCTTCACACGGATTTTCCAGCTAGAAAGGAGCGTGGCTCTGCATGGCTTCTTGGAAAGGAGTTCGGACCGTGGACAGGTTGTGAGCTCTCCAGACCCACCATGAGAGGAAGAAGCCAGAGATTGGCTGGAGCACGGATTCACTCCAGGACCTCAGAGCTTCCAGAAAGCCAGAGCAGGGCAGATCCGGAGAACTCGGAGCTGGGGGAGGCCACAGACTCCGTTTAGCCGTCTCCTCTCTCGGGCTGGCCGCACTCCCTGTCCGACAGGCCGGCAAGCCCTCCCCCGTGAGCGCAGGTGGAGCCGCAGGTGCTGCTCGCACGCTGCCCTTAAACCGTAGCCCAGTGTCAGGGCACCACACCTTTCCAAGAGGAAACCCAGTGCAAAGTTGACGTTTGTCTGTCCCTCTGATGGGACTCCCTTTCACTCAGAGGGGAAAAGGGGTACAGTAACCCCCCCCAACCTGCCCCAGGGACGCCGGCGCTTTTGGCAATGCAGCGCCCATCCTCTGCAGGGCTCCTGCACAGCGCGGTTGGGCAGCAGCAGCAAGGGCATCTCCTGGGGGCGGGTGGAGCTGGAATCTGCCTGGGGCACAGCAGAGTCCGAGCTGCTGCTCCCAGGCCCCAGGGGCCATCCTCCAAACAGAAGACACAGAAGGAGGCTGCAGGGTGTAGGGAAACGGTCCGGCCCAGCGTTGCTGGGGCCCTGATGGGGAAAGGGAGTGGGCTGCTGGGCTCTGGCCTGTGCTGGGCGATGGGTGCTGGTCACAGTGTCCTGCATCCGCGGAGGCGCATCCTGTTACTAGTCCCCGTGCAAACCCACGCACGGGACGGGGCGGGAAGGCCCAGCCATCTCCTGCTCCCCGCCAGGTCTGGACTGCTGCTCAGCCCTCCCTTCCCTCCGGATGCCGGCCCCTCCCAACCCAGCCCGCACACCCTCCCCGGGACACAGAGGCTGGCCGAGGCCCTCCACTGTGACCCTGGGAGCAAGAGCTGCCCAAATCACCCAGCCTAGAGGCCTAAGCCAAGAGTTTGAACTGATTTGGGGTTAAGTTTAAATGAGAGGCCTGGGAATTTTAGTGGCAAGCCTAAAACAGCATCCAACAGTTCAAGGACCCCGACAAAACTGTCTGCATTATAGTCTTGCTGCTCAAAGTGTGGTCCCTGGACCAGCCCCAACAGCATCCCCTGGGAGCTTGTCAGCAATGCAGAATCCAGGGCCCAGTCCAGGCCCCCCCGTGAGACTCTGCATTTAAACAGGCGACTCGTGTGCGCTCTCAGGTCTGAGCAGCTCTGCGGCTGGCGCAGTGCTCAGTTGTTCACTGTGTGCCTTCAGGTTCCCAGGACAGCGGACAAAGCTCTGCTCGATCTCTCCACCTTTAGGTCCTAAATGCGGAGACCCCTCCTCGTCCCCAGGCACTGGAGAGGCCCCCTGCTGGGCACAAGCCCCTGTGGGACACGTACTTGGGCAGCTACAGTGCCGTCTGGCCACCCTGAGACGCTTCCGCCCTGAGACGGGCCTCTCGCGGCTGCCTCGCCACCTCCCCTTCCAAACTCCCTTGAAAGGCTTCAGAAGAGCAGGTCCTAGCAGCCTGAGTTCAAAGCTTTCTCCTTTCTTGAATTTTATTCCTTTTTTTTTAATGGAGGTACCGGGGATTGAACCCAGGACCTTGTGCATGCTAAGCATGAGCTCTACCACTTGAGCTACACCCACCCCAAGAGCCCTTTTCATGGCAGCTCCATCTTTCTTCCCTGCCCCACCAACTAAGGCAAAAGAGTGTGTCCCAAGGACCCCAGGGGCTGGGCTTCTGCTCACAGGACGTTGCCATCTTGGGACTCTAGTGCCAGATCTGTCACTAGCTTTGGGCCCTTGGAGAAGCTGGATCGCTTTAACTCAGTTGCTGAATCTGAAAACTGAAAGGCTTCAATAATCTGACCCCTAACATCCCTTGAGCTGGGGTTTCTAAAAACCTAGCTGTGCATCCCGGGAGGACGGGCTACCTGCCTTGCTGAAGAGCGAGAAGAAAACATTAGAACCTCCACATCTGTATCGCATGCCAATCTGACAATAAGAAAAGCACGTATTTACTTAATAGTTAAATCGCAGGTTGACAGAAGCACCCCCACTGAGTCCACATGCCAGCGTATCCCATAATTAACGTAGCAGAAGGGCACTGTCACCCAGGGCAGGCGAGGGGCCCGAAGGCAGAGTGCAGGACCGACGTGGAGTCCCTTCCTCGCTCGCTTGCTCTCAGCGTATCCAGGACAGCGGCCTTTGCAAGCGCTCAGC